TTTTCTTCCATTCGGTAGGTTATCTTGTCACCGCTGAGTCCTTGGTGGTACAGCTTTTTATTTTGACAAAGTCATGTCTATTTTTGCTTTTGTTGACAGTGTTTATTCATTTTCTTTATTATTATTATTATTATTTTATTTTAGGGGGGTACCAGAAATTGAACTCAGGACCTTGAGCTTACCAGATGCTTATGCTACTGAGCTGTATCTTTATTATAACAAAATATCTGCAGCTGAGATTTATTTAGCTTATGGTTTTGGAGGCTGAGAGTCCAAGTTCAGGTTCAGCCTCAGGTTAAGGGCCTAATCAGGTGGTATCATGACAGGTGCATGTGTGAGACCGAGCACACTGAGAGATAGGAAGCCACATCTGCTGTTACACAAAGTTATGGGACCCTCTCTCAGAGTCCCATAAAAACTGCCTTAATCTCTTCTTTATGCCCCAAACTGAGGATTAAAGCCAGGGTTTTGCCCTGAGCTCCATCCCCTGTCCTGTCCTGTTCTGTCCTGTCTTGTCTGTCCATCCGTCCATCCATCCATTCATCTATCCCCTCATCCACCTATCCATCCATCCACCTATCCATCTACCCATCCATCCACCCACCTACCTATCATTTGAGACAGGGTCTTGCTAAGTCACTAAGTTGTCCAGCTCGGGTGGAACTGTGATGCTCCTATCTCCGATTTCTACAGTGCTGGATTCCAGCCATGCGCCACCACGCCCCACTCCTTTGTCCCAGGGCGCAGGCAGCACCCTCACTGACCTGAACACCTCCCTACAGGCCCCACATTGCACAGGTTCCCCACACTTCATGTTCCTACATTAGGACCACACACATTCAACACAGGTGAGCTTAGGGACAAACCACCCAAACCACAGCACTGTGCTTCTGAGGTCATTAAAAAGAAAATCGCTGCCCAGGAGAATGTCATGGCACTTTTCAGCATTAGGTTTAAGTCTCTACTATTGTCAGTTAGTGTTTCTAGATAGGCTCTCTATTCTGTCTCAGTGGTCCATGTAAGTATTTTTACACCAGAACCATTCTGTTTTAATGATCATAGTTTTATAGACTATTTTAAAGCCAGCAGTATGTCTCCTGCTTTGTTCTTTCTTTAGCACCAAGATTGCTTTAGCTCTAACAGATCATAACTGATAGAATCATCTGGGCTGCATGATATCTAGCATAGGTCAGAAACCAGCAATCTGGAAATTTAAGAAACTAACACTAAAATAAGGAATTAACATTAGAGGAACACTAAATCTTATGGAAACAATGTCTTTAAACCTACTATTGAAGAAATTAGATTTCTTTTATGTTTAGTATTGTTTTCTTAAATGATTCTCTAGTCAGTAGACTAGCCACCTAGTTTTGAAAACATTTTGTGATTTTTATTGTAACAACGTTTGTCATAAAAGGATCTGAGTAAATGAAAATCTATCCTTGTTAGATAAGCTTGTGGCACATCCTACAAAATTCAGGTAATTTACCAACTTAACCTAAATTTCTTCTGCACAATACTCTATTTATTAGTACTTCCATGAAATCAGATATAACAAATGTTCATAATAATAACTACAAGGCACAAAGTCTGAATCTTAAAAGTACTTCTTGTTATAAAAATATTAATGTAGAGTTAAGTGTGGTGGCACATGCTTGTAATTCCAGCACTCAGGAGGCTGAGGCAAGAGGATTGCCATGAGTTTGAAGTCAGTCTGGGTTACATAGTAAGTTCAAGGGCAGCCTAAACTAGATGGAGCAGGGCTGGGGATTTAGCTCAGTGGCAAAGCGCCTGCCCGGCAAGCGCAAGGTCGTGAGTTCGGTTCCTGGTACCAGAGAAAAACCAAAAAAATAAAAAATAAAAAATAAAAAAATAAACTAGATGGAGGGACTCTGTCTCAAAACTAAACAAAAGCAACAACAAAAAATTAATATAATTGATAGAACAGATTTTACTGTTAAAATTTTAAATATCATGTATGTGGATTGCCAATAGTTTTTCCTTTCACATTTTCCTAATACACTGTGCTATTTTTATAATATAAAAAGCCAAAAGAATATGTTCAAAATGTCTTACTAACAGTTTGTATTTAGCAGGTGTTAATCGAAATACTGAAACGGAGATATTAATTCCTATCTCAATTTTAACACCTTTTAAATGACTGGAGAGAAACTGTTCCATACATTACAACTGAATTCAAGAATCAAAACTGTCAAAACCAGCCGGCCAGGTGTGGTGGTGCACACCTGTAATCCCAGCACTTGGAAGGCTGAAGCAGGAGGATTGTTGTGAGTTTGAGACCAACCTGGGCTACAAAGTGTGCTCAAGGCCAGCCTAAACTGCGTAGCAAGACCCTGTCTCAAAAAGACAAAAAACAAAACAAAACAAAACAAAACCTGTCAAATCAATAAACTACTGCAGCACTGCTGCATAACAGGGAAAATATTTCTAACACCTCAAAACAAAATGTGTGCCGTGGCTATTCACTGTGTGACACTGGCAGGTAAGGTGTTATTAGATTTTAAATTTTTAAAAACTAAATTATAATAGATCCATAATCGCTTTTTAAACAGGACATTCAGCTAAACAGAGGAGAAATATCCTCATTAGATAAGAAATTTGAGATCAATAACTCTAAATATAACCTTGGATCACTAATGATCACAACCATTACTTGGTCCAAATCGGCAATATGTTATCCTTTTCTGTTTTATTTTTAATACAGTAATAGAACTGTAGGGATCTCATGAATATTTTGCCAGGAGATCAAAACAAAAAAAAGTTCTAGAAAAAAAAAAATTAAACCCAAGTGAGTAGCAGTGTTCAGTAAAAGAAGAGTATAAAAAATTCACAAACTGTAAGAGAACGCACATGTCTCTGCCACCCTTCTGAACTGACTGGTCATTAAGAAGCCCATTCTACCCTGCTCCTTCCTCCTGCCCTCCACACCCATCAAGTCATAAACATGATGGCAGAGGGGGACACTGCGCATACAAAGTGGACTGGGCCTCTAAAAGTCTTAAATTTTAACAGAACGATCTCCTTTGTGCACATAATTATAAAAGTATTTAATCTTTTTGGGACTGATCCAGGGCTTCGTGAACACTAGGACAGCTTTCTGCCACCACGCTGCACCTCTTTCTGTACTTTTTCTGTGTGTGTGTGACATTCTAACCACTGAACCCAGAGCCACGAGAGGCAAGAGTCTAGCACTGAACTACATCCCCAGCACTTTGTGCTGTATGTTAAGCCAGGATCTTACTCAATTGTCCAGAAAGCACTGAACTTGTGGTGCTCCTGCCTCGGCCTCCCAAGTAGCTGGCATTACAAGCATGTACCACCAGTCCTACCCCGACCTTTATTATTTTAAAATTTTCTCCCAAACGAGCCTCGTTCCCCATGTGCAGTCTGTTGGTCCAAGTGTGTACAACTTACATCAGAACTGCCCAGAATGCTTCTTTTTCCCATCCCCAGCCAGACTGACTTAGGTTTGGGTCCTCAGACGCTCAGTTTTCAAAGCAAGCAAATTGATTTTTATATACCCTAATGCATGATACCTCAATTATAAACACCTTAGACTGTAAGTATTTTTAGAATAAGAATTATGCAATTTCTTCTGTAATTATCCACCATGGAGAAGCACTGAAGAGAATACTCAGTAGCAAGTGGCTTTCAGAAATGCTAAAATGCCACTCATACGGAGAATGGAGATCATTATTCATCATTAAATAATTATTCTGGGACACAGAAATCCAGCATGTGAAAACTTGAAAGCCATTGCATCTCCAGTAACACGAGTAAGATATCAGTAAAGCTTCACAAATAAAACAAGTGCCTCGGTAGTAACATATACGAGGCAGCCTTAGTTTTTGAATATATATCATTTAGCTTCACATGATTCTGCACATATGCTCTCCAGTAATTTTTTTTCTTATTTTGGATTTTTGAGACTGGTCTCGCTATGTAGGCCTGGCCTGGCTAGTTGAGGCTGGCCTAGAACTCACTACGTAGCCCAAGCTGACATAGAACTTGCAGCAATCTTCCTGCCTCAGCCTCCCGAGTGCTGGGATTACAGGTGTGCACCACTGCACCTGGCTCACTCCTGTAATTTTAAGCAGTGCCTTGCTTAATACAGCAGAATCAGATTAATTTCTACCAATGGTTAACATTAAGCTTAGATTTATAATCTCTAATAACTTGCCGACCAACTGAGATTATGAAAAACATGTAACTGACAATAATGGTACCACTGGAAACCAACAACAACTCCTAGGTCTCAGGAAAAAAAAAAAAAAAAGAGTAGAACAAAGCAGTTACAGGAGACTGCTACTACAAAAAAGGGCCACAGAGCAGACATAGAAAGTATGATTTCAAACCAAACTATGTTCCTCTTATCTCTGAGCATCAACAGGTGATGAATGATTTCCACTCCAAACAACAAATCAAGTACACTAAAAGTAAACCTATCAGGCCATTCCTTTCCTTTGACAAAAAATTACAACACCATACATACCACTCATACTAGGACATAACTATCAAACAATACTACCTGTGGCTAGTATAAAACACGTGAGACTGCAGTCAAGCCTCTGTGCAATCTTAGTCACAATTCCAAAGGACGTGAAGGCTCGATTATGATCCCACTGACTTTTCTTACAGAAGTACATTTTGGGTGAAACAGACACAAATGGCCAGGTTACTGTAAGAGTCATGTCAGTCTGAACTTTTCCCCCTTGCAAGAGGATCTCGCTCTGCAACTCACAGCAACCCTCCTGCCTCAGCCACCCAAGCACTGGTATTATTGGCACATATCACCACAGAGGGCAAGGTAACCATTTCTGTTTCTATCAGGGCATCCTTAAAATTTTAGCCAAGTTAGCCAGGGAGCTGAGGGAAAGAATGTGTGGTTTTCTGCCAACACAATGCTTCAGTGTGTCCACAAAACAGGGGCACGTGCAACCTCCAGATCAATCTGTGTGTTCGATTAGGGAACGACTCACCCACAGTGTACCAGCTGGCATCGGTCAACTTGCTGATAACGGCTTCCTGAAAGGATCCGTCAGGCGTCCTTGTTTCAACAATTGCTCCAACCTAAAACACAAACCCCAAACGCCTTCACCATATATAAACAAACAAACTGAATCATTCCCACCAACTACGACTGGGTAAGAAAAACGAGGTTAAGCTATTTCTTCCCTATTCAGGCTTAGATCATCATCATTTATAGGGCTTAGTTCTTCATCATGTAATTTGAGCAACCAAGTACTTTGGCATAATGGCGGAAGGTACCTACATTTTACAAATTGAAAATTGTAGCTTGAGAAAGTAAAATAATTCGCACAGGGTAGGAATCCAGTCTTTTAAATCTTAAGTCACACTGTTGTCCAGCAAATTAAACATAAGAACTCTAAAACCTCTGAGCATGGTGATGATGTAATCCCGGAACTCAGGAGGCTGAGTGAGGCAGGATGTCTGCTGAGCGAGGTCAACCTGGGCTACATAGCAGGTTCAACGTCAATCTGAACTAAACAGCTAGAATCTGTCTCAAAAAGACAACAACTACAAAACCTTAAGACAACTAAAATAGACTCCATTTTTTTTAATAGAAATATTTAATACTGGATTCAGCATTTGTATTTAAGGAAGCTTTTTTTTTTTTTTTTGTCTTTTTGAGACAGGGTCTTGCTATGCACCTTCAGGCTGGCCTTGAGTTCACATTATAGCCCAGGCTGATCTCGAACTTGCAACAATCTTCCTGCCTCAGCCTCCCAAGTTTTGGGATTACAGGCAGGTGTGCACTACCACACCTGGCTTTAAGGAACGTTTTAAATAAAGGTTCACCTGGACGCAGAGCTATGGAAGAGCTGACTTTCTTTCAGCTTTCAGACCTCTGTATATCAGATCTTAACTGGATGGAAACTCTGACATGAGAAAGATTGAAATGGCCAGATGTAGATGAAAAATATAATAAGGAATTCATTAAAGTGAGCTGTAAGATGAGCATCGTTTACTTGGCAAATCAGGATAAAAAGATTAAAGCTCATGCTACTGGTTGTACAACTTTGCAGCTACCACCCAAGACAGGCCAACAATGTAAAAATGAAAAAAAGGTATTCGGTCCAAGAGTTCAAAACAAAAGGCAATTGAAAACATATTTAAATATATTAAAGTACTCTGGTGTACACTGTTGATATTCTTAAGCTAAAGATATAATTGTTGTAAGATCATTTATACTAACTACATAAACATCACATTTGTATTTTTACTTTGATAAACATTCTGATAAAATTAAGTTAGTACAAATGTAAAAGTCAATTACAGTATGAATCTGTGATTCATTATTTTAGATTTTAAACGGTATAGTCTATCATTCTTATAATCTTGTTGTTGCTGCTTTTTGAGACAAGCTCTCACTACAGTTCAGGCTGGCCTCAAACTCCCAGGGATCCTCCTGCCTCAACTTCCTCAGTGCTGGGATTACAGGGGTGCACCACCACACCCAGCTAGAATGTTTTTATTGGTGTGTGTCTGTGACACATAGTGAGTATGTTCAGCTGGGAGCTCTGACACACATGTGCATCTCACCTTAATCACCCCCCCCACCTCTTCTACTCTATTTCTTTCCTCAGACCCCTTCCCCAGACCCCTACAGAGTTCACCTCCCTATTTCATGGCTACTTCACATGTTTTGAGTCTCTCATTAGAGAAACTGCAATATTTAACCTTTTGTGACTGATTTATTTCACTTACTCTTAAAGGACCCTTGACTTGGTCATCTTGCACCAATTGTGTTGTATTATCCTGTTTCAGGAGTACCTGAAAAACATTTTTACACAGTAATTGGCATGTTGCTTTTAAAATAATACACTTACAGTGACACCGTAACAATGATGTCATTAATCTATGCTTCCAAAGTACCCCGTGGTTACTTCTGCTGTAACAGTTATTACATGGTCTTGGATTTATATCCATTGTCTCTTTCATTAAGTGTGAGCTCCTTGAGGGGCTGCAGCCCTCTCTTATTACCCTTTCCCCAGCAGGTAGCAAATGTCTATGCAGGTTACAGGCATTTAATACTTGTTTACTGAAGGAAGAAACTATAGATTTACAATCTAGAGTGATTACTATGAAAGTTTAGAACTGCCTCTTTATCATTAACATATTCTGATTGTCCCCAAGTATTAAAAAAAATATACCAAACTTTATGGTCTACTTGAACCCAGAGCTTTTTTGGCCCTTAAGACAGAAAAAACATGGTAACTGGTTCATGTACAAACAGGTACCTGAAAGGTATCTTTTCTCCTTTCATACCCTCCCAAATATACAAGGCAGTTACCCAAATAAGTAAATTCAAATTCAGTATGAAAAATAATCACTGTACTGATTCTTTATAGAATAAATGAGGGCCAGGGATATAGCTCAGTGACACAGGACCTGCCTGGGAAGTTCAAGTTTCTCACTTTGATTCCCAGTTCCAAAAAATAAATAAATAAATAAAAGAGCCAAAAAGCCAAAAAAGAAGTTAAAATTGTCAAAGACATTCCAATAAATACTTAGTAACCAAATCTTACGCAGTTTATACTGTCAAAAGAGTTTTGTAGCTCTAACATGTTTATATAAGCACAGGTTGCTTTCTTTACCTAAGTAACAAAACTATTAAAATCCACGTTTACATAGAAAAAAATTACTGGAAGGAAAAAAATTGTTATCAGTATTTCTGAGAAGTAAGCTTGGGTATTAATCCATCTGGAGTTTTCTGTATTCTCAAATACTGTGCAGAAATATATTAACTTTCACTTTTCTGCTCATAAAAGGATCTTAAAAATAATCTTGAACCACTTTTACTGCTGTCTTCAAAACATGGTTCCCAGTGTATTGCTCTTCCTAATTACTGAAACTGTGTCTACCTGGGCATTATGAATAGGCAGAAAACAGCTAATAGCCTAAGTAAGTATTCAACCACAAACAGGAAGGGGCCTAATGAGGCAGTATCATGACCATGAAACTGCGAAACGAGCATTTTGGAGTAATTTCTCATTTGGTTGTTTCTCTTTCATTTTTTTTTCTTTTTCAATTTTTAATGTACTTTTCCTTTAAGTTTAGTATATGTTAATTCTTTCACACAGTACTGATTCATAAAAAAAAGTGACTTGGAGTCTCCCCTTACTAAAACTCCACTCCCTTCAACTAGTTAATAAAACTGTTGTATTAAGGAAAGAAATGAAAACATATTTGTTACCTTAACCTTCACCAGTCTTTTCACAGTCTTGATCTTCGCCTCACAGAAGGCGCCTCGGTACTTGGCACTGACGTCCGTGCCCACAGTCAGGTAGGCAGGCTCGTCGGCCGCCTGGGAAGAGGGCAGGACATGACAGAACAGGACAGCAACTGTGATCTCCAGCAGCTTCTCCCCTACCCAGCCTCAAGCAGCAGTAAAACCTTCCACGTTAAGTCATTAGGACATTAATATTATCTACTTATTGATGTCATTGATAATTTGAAAAACAAGACTTGATGAATATACTGATTGCCTTATACCATAAAATGCTTTAAAATTATAATTGGGACTTACGAAAAAATATAGTAACATTTTTTCTAGATATAAAATGTTTTTAAAAACTCTACAATTTATCTAAGAAATGAAAAGAGTAGAAAAATATCCAATTATATATCATAGAACTTGATTTATAGCATCTTGATAATTGATTTAAATTAAAGGATACTGCTCTTTAAAATACTAACAATACATAATTGTTTGATGGATCTCATCAAAATTACATTTTGCATACAGTTTATTTTGAAGAGAACACACTAAGTCAGCTTTTTGGGAAAATTTACTAGCTAAAAGCTGCAAATTCAGCTGAAGAATGCTAATACGAAATGATGGCTCGACACTACAGCCACTTAGTCAGAACAGCTCTACCAAGAAAAGCCTATTTTCAGCAAATGGCCCGCAGCACAACAGTACATTGAAAGTAAGGAGAAATTTCTTTCTGCCATTCATTTTAATCTTAACAGTAACAGGATGGCTGCCATCTCGCTGTCACTGTATCTGGTTTTTTTGAAAGTTACATGTACTCACAAGTGCAACTTAACATTACCAAGTGCAAAGGTAACAGTGTATACTTTTGCTATCCATTTTTAAGTACAAGACAATGGTTTATTTTCCAGTAGGTTTTCTCAAGTGTACTTCAAGAACAATAGGAAGGCAAGAGAAACTTGGGGGAAAATGCTATATTTTAGAGCTTAACATACTGAAACAAACAGTAAAAAACAGCTCAGGGACCCTTGAAAGTCAGTGCAGAGGAAGCATGCAAATGGAAGAAGAGTGTGTTTGCCAAGTATTGGCCAGAAACATTCAATGGCCACGCACTTAGAACTTCCTTTCTCTTCCTTTTGAACAGTCACACGGGGATGTTTGCAACATTAGGTATCTTAAGAATATACAAATATCTTGGATAAACGAACATATTTTAAAGTACTGCAAAGAATGAATTAAAACTAGGTATTATTAGAGTTCACCTACTCAAAAACTATAATCATAAATGTCTGCTTTGTCCCTACTATCTCCTTTACTCAATCTACATATTCTTTCTCTAAGAAAATGGAATTGACAATGGCGAAGAAAAAAGTTCAAAAAAATCCCCCAAAGAACCACAGCAGGACTAAAGCTTTACTTCTGCAAAGGTTGCAGCCAACACAGGAAGTGTTTAAAAATACTAGCCTAATGCACAGGAGCGGAGAGGCTGCCCCAGCCTCTCCGAAGTGCTCGCTGCTACCGCGGGCTGAGGTAGCTGCGCTCAGACACAGGATTCCCGGCCCATTCACTTGTCCTCGTTTTCTGAAAGCACCGCTGTACCGAAATCAATTCCGAGTAACAAAAAGATGACAATCCGTTCCGCGGCAGCGGGCTCGAGATGGGCACGTCCGGGGAAGGAGGCTCGGCGGACTTGGTCTCCACTTACCTTCATTTTCACCGGGGATCTGTGGGGCTCCAGCTCCACGAGTTCTCCTCTCTGTCGCTAGAACCGCGGGTGGGAGGAGAAAGCACAGAGTCCGTCAACAGCGGGGTGCGATCCGAGGGAGAAAGTAAACAAACGCCCGCGGGGAGGGACGGCACCTCGCGCGGCCGGGAGACCCCGCGGGGGACAGCGGGACGCGCGCGGCGGGCAGCCCGCCC